ATAGAGGGCCCAGCGTCGCCTGTCGCGACACCCGACCCGGACTCGAGAAACTCGAGCTTGGCGATGAGCTCCTCCCTGGACAGCTTTGCGTATCGTGACATTCTCTTTGCTGCTCTCCTTGTGAGTAGGCTCAGAGAGGGGAGCATACAGGGGTCGTCGGCCGGGTCCGCAGTAAGCGATTGATGCATGACAAGGAGCTTGAAGCGGCTCTAACCCTTGCGCTATCCAGTTGGGCTCTGGGTCGATAATTTTGGCTCGCGGCGGCGATGTCCGACGATGCGCTGGTGGGTGGGTCCACCACCGTACGGCCTTGTCCAGCGAGCGAAGGGGCCATGCATGTACCGGGAGTGTTGGACAGTGCTCGGAGGAGGGGATGGCCATGCACGGAGAGCAGTGACAGGCTATTGGGGGGAGGGGGGAAGAGGTCGTGTACTTGTTGGAATCAACGACACCCCCCAACGATGATGTCACGGTCGATGGCGCTAGCCAAGACCGTAAACAAATGTCCACATCTACATCTCTCTCACTCTTCTCGACCCATTGGCCACCCAGTCTGGCCGGAGCACACACGTCAGTAGGCGTGGGAATAGCGATATGGCCAGCTCTACTGAGCCACATCGGGCGGAGCAAGTGCTCACGCCCTCCGACAGCGAGCAGAACAATGTCTCGCCGCCAACGACGTCTGCCCCAGAGACCACAAGGACTACGACCATAAAGGTCAGCGCCAAGCTGGACGACGTGGTGACGAGGATCAGTCAGAGTCAAGAGGATCTTCCCACCACCAGGACCTCGGTGTGGAACTGGTTGTTGCTGCTGCCATTGGTAACGGCGCTGCCCTTTTACCTCTCCAAGCTGCACTATGCCTTGCCGGATCCGCAGCCCGCGTAGTACGTGCACACGCACTGGTGGTCAAGAGGGCCTGCTGACACCCTCCCATCCAGCGACGCACACGGCCGCCCTCAACCGTCCGAGGACGTGGTCCTGGGCCATATCGGTGCCCTAGAGAACCTCGGGTACAGGACAGTCGGGACTCACGAAGCGCTCGCGGGGGAGGAGTATGTCCTGAACGAGGTGTACAAGCTGCACATGCAGTGTGAGGAGGGCGGGGTGCTCCACTGCGAATGGTGGTATCAGAAGGGTTCAGGATTCCACACGTCAGTCGCGCGAGCCGCCTACTCGCCGTGCTGCCCTCGCTCAGACCAGGATATAATGCTGACCGACCTCTAGCTTCGACATCCTGGACCATGAGGTGTTGAAGGCGTACTCGGGCATCGGCAACGTCATCTTCAAGATCAGTGCAAACCATCCCCCATCGTACAACGCCTCGGCACCGACGATCGAGAAAGACACGGTACTGCTCGGGAGCCACATCGACAGCACCATGCCTGCGCCAGGTGCGGCCGAGTGAGTACTGGACGTGGCCGTTCGAGCGCGAGCTGACCACAGCCCTAGTGACGGGATCGGAGTTGGGGTGATGCTGGATGTGGCTCGGGTTTTGGTCGAGCGGAACGAGCCCTTTGACGGGTCGGTCATGTTCAGTAGGTCACCGCCCGCATGGCTGACGTGACGGTGCTGACCACGACCCTCCTTTCAGTGTGGAACGGTGGAGAAGGTACGCCGACATGCGATGATCTAGGCTGATCAGGTAGAAACGCTTCAGGACGGGTCTCATCTCTATTCAACACGACACCATACCACAGACTGGTGAGTCTGGCGCGGTCGTTGACGGGCTTGTCGTTGATCTGGGGCGCGACTCATACAGCATTCGCGCCGTGATCAATCTCGAAGGTAGGTGAAGATTCATCCAGGTGGGGTATGGTCTTGCACTGACTTCCCTCGCTCAGCTGCAGGCACAACCGGCGGAGCCTTGTTGTTTCAAGCGACCAGCCAGGAGATGATCGAGGCGTATTCTCGCGCCCCACAGTGAGTCCAACTCGCCCCTCCGCAGGCCCTGCTGACAGAGCCACAGCCCCCGCGGAACCGTCATCGCCGCTGATGTCTTCTCATCAGGCATCCTGATGTCCGAGTTAGTCATGCGGTATAGGACGCAATGATTTCTGCTGATACACACCTCAGCACCGACTTTGTCCAGTTCGAAAAGTACTTGGGAGTGTCAGGCCTTGATGTGAGCTGGAGATTTGCACTTGACGTCCTTGAGGTTGTGCTGACGCTGTGAAGATGGCACTGGTCGGCCACAGCTACTTCTACCATACCCGCAAGTGAGTTTCGACACGGTGACCAGTCGCTGACGGCCAGAGACTCGCTCAAATATATTGAGCGTGGGTCCGCCCAGCACTTCGCGAACAACATCCAGGCAATCGTCGATCACCTGCTGTCTCCAGATTCTCCTTTGCTCAAGGCTGAGACCTGGTCTCCACCCGACATGGTCTACCTGTCGTTGTTCGACAGGTTGTTCGTCTACTACTCTATGGAGAAAGCGAGCCAGGCGTACATGACCCTAGCTGCAATGGTGGCCGCCGTGGTGGCTAAGAATCACCTGACGCCCAAGAGGTGGAAGGCTCTTGCGATCGCCCTGGTCGGCACGCCGCTGGGTATGGTTGGCGGAGCACTGTCGGCGAATCTCCTCGCGGGCTGCTTGGTCTTATCCCGCAAAGGGCAGATTTGGTGCGCCGACTCGTGCGACCGGTCTCTGTCCAGTGGCTGACGCTTCCCTAGGTTCCGACACGAACACCTACCCCTGCTCGTCTACGCTCCAGCGGGATATATCGGTCACTTTACCGTCCAGCTGCTCCTGTCGAAACTGCTCTCCCCTGTCGATCGATCTCAGTTAGAGAAGGCGCACTACTCTGCTCAGATGGTATACACGACCGTGATGATGTTGGTACTGCAGCACTTCCAAATTCGATCCGCATACCTCTTCTCATTCTTCACTGGATTGCTCTTGCTCGGCGCGATGGGCAATGAACTGGGACAGCTACTCGGAGAGCGGGTCAACGGGATGAAGCTGAAGATGACTTATATTGCCTCGCTGGCTGGCTGTGTTGTGTTGGCCGTGGAGGGGATAACGAATGTGGGTATGGCTCCTATCCGAGTGAATTCTGCTTACGAGCCGTCCGCAGACCCTGGATATCTTCACGCCGTTGGCTGGTCGTATGGGCACGGTAAGCGTTTCCTCCTCAGCTGATTCATGAAGGCTGATCATCTTTAGGACGCGCCCGCCGAGTTCATCGTCGCAACAATCTCTTCCACCTGTTTGTTCACCTTCCTACCGCCTGTCATCCCACTTTTCCACCGAGTCTCGCGAGCGAACCAGCGGAAGATTATACTCGGCTTGGCGCTGTTCTCCGCCGGAGTCATTACCGCGCTCGCTGGGCCATGGTACTGGCCCTACGATGACATGCACCCCAAGCGAGTTGGTGTGCAGTACCTCTATAACGTGAGTGGGCACGGCATCAAAGCATTCCATCAAGAGCACCTCTGACGCCCTGTACAGCACTCGTCTAGTGAGCACTCCGGCCACGTAGCGTTCATGGACGGCGGACCCAGCTCGGACATCCTTCCCGCCATCCACGAAAAGTACGGTCTTCCTGGGTCCGAAATACAGCCCACCAAGATGACCGACTGGGACAGCGACTGGGACGTCCTGTACCCAATCTCGACCTTCCTGGAGACTTACAAGTTCCCGCTTGATGTTAGTGAGAAGGACAAGGAGTTTGACTGGCCCGGTATGGGGTTCTGGGTGGATGATGTCAAGTGGGAGTACGGCATCAGGCATATGCGATTGCGCTTTGATTTCGTGAGTAGTCCTCCCAGCTTGCCACTGGCGTGCGCGCTTATCCATTCTCACCCCTTGCAGCGCGGTCTGGTCTGGCCGACCCTCGCGTTCGAAGCGGATGTGCTTCGGTGGTCGTTCCCTGCTCCCCCTCCTCAACGCCTGATGCGCCACCACATCAAAGTAGCCACGAGTGTAGACGAGACGGTGGTGGATCTCAACCTGACCCTGGCGATGAACGAAGGCGAGAGGTTGACCATGCACTGGACCGCTGTCGGTGAGTACCCGTCCTTGTTACCCCTCCTCGTACCTCTCATACTGATCGCCACGCAGACATCAACCAGATGGTTCCCGGTACCGCATCCCGCATGGGACCGAACATGCCAGCATCCAGGTGGCTGCTCGACATGGACAAGTGGACCAAGGAGCGATGGGATGATAGCCTCGATATCCTGATGACGGGTGTGGTGTGCGGCGTCATCGAAGTGTAGACGATAGAGCGTGGGGGGGTGGGGGGAAAGGCAGGGGACGAGTGGGTAAGATCTGATAGACTACAACCTCTCATGCATGCGAGCACCCATTCTTCCGGGCTGAATCATTCACGCGGATCAGTCACACCGGCTTTGCTCGCCAAGGGCTGCCACGAGCTTTCGGAGAAGCGTGCAGGTACTCTGAAATCCTGCTCTCGTTTTTGGCCTGGATACCCGACCAGCCCGAAGCGTTTCCATGTCACCCTCGAGATCACGCCATGCTCCGAGACGCAGAGAAATAGGGCAGGCTAGCAGGATGTCAGAGCTGTCGACGGGCTCAGTTGTACAGGAGAAAACCAGACATGCGTCAGCCCGGATGGCACGCCCGACAGACCTGACCAGCCACGTCTGCCAGCGATCCCGAACCGTCAAAGCGGCCGTCAGAAAATGATCAAGCGAAACGCTAGATAGTTTTGCGCAGGACCAGGTAACGCACGTCCGTGGCGAAAAGGATGGAGTTGGGAAGGATCGAAGTCACTACCCCGGCGGGTTGGGTGCCGCCCTTTTCCCCACTCTTAGGATCCCTGCTTCCTCCGCAGTTGCTGAGCCTACACAGAGACAGGAAGTCGACGAGCATATGCCACATGCATAGGCGATGCTTGTACGTTAAGCGCGGTGTACTGTGAAATAGGAGCTCACCTCTGATTCCGCAGGCGAGGGCCGAGCTTCCCTGCAGCTTCGAAATAGCCCGTGTGTAACGTATATATTGGCACAATCAGACGTACCAGACATGAAATGGGGGTGTAGCTCATTTGGCAGAGCGCGTCATTAGCAGCTTCATCACAAAGCTTGTATTGACGAGGTAGTGAGTTCAATTCTTACCTCCTCCACTTGAATCATCTTTTTGCTTTTCGTGGCATCTCTCGCCCTTTCGGCTCCCTCTTCGTCTGACTGGTGACTTTTTGCAGGTGATGATCGACTTCGAATGATTCAACGACGCGCTTTGCCATTTGAGCTGCAGCCCATGTGATGTTTTGTTGTCTTACTGGGACCAAATTTGGGACGTTTCACGCGGTGGCAAGCTTCACCTGTGCAAGCGAAGTTTCATATGGCAGTTATCAAAGGGGACGCCCTGGTTAGCTGCTATCGAAGGCAGATACGGTGTGCTTCTGTTCGGCCGTCTGAAGAGAGCAAGGCATAGAATACATGGCATCGTGGCCATTGTGACCGTCTGGTGACGCCGAGTGATAACCACGGCCTACCAGAAGCAGCTCTCGTACGACCTGTGCGAAAGATTGGGTCAGATTGACATCGGCTGTGCCTCCAAGGTTTTTGTCCCGTGCTCACGCAGGGATACCATCCACCACAACCTCGTTCTCGGCCAGACTTCTCTCGTATGCGATGCGAACAGACAGAAAGATCGCCATGGTGGCTCGGGCGTCCTCGACCTGGCGAGTGAGTGTTGCGTCAGTTCCCATGGCTGCACCGGGCACCGCCCGCTCCCACACATTCCCCAGTGCGCGTTTCTGACATACCGGGTCGTGCCCCTTGTTACTGGTCTGGATATTGATCCCCGAGACAGCCTTGGCGAGCCGCTTCAAGCTAGGGTACTGGCCAAAATGGCATGGGACCAGCTCCCGCAAGGGTAAGTACAGCGCTGTATCGCGAAACATCTCCCACTGCTGCTTGTATTTGAGCGCCTTCGAGGGGGGTTGAAGGGTCGGTCAGCTCGAGTCCAACATCCCTTGGGATGCTACATCGAGTATGCGCTCGGTCGCCATTAGATCGCACCGCATGATACGTCTTGTGTATCACTCTCCGCGCACACTCACCGCCAGATCGTTGAACAGGGCGTGACCGACTAGTATCTTGCCTTGAATCAACCTTCTGACTGTCACCCGGACATGCTCAAACGTCGGGGCTGAGTAGCGCTCAGTGCCACTCTGAGCGTGGCTGGCCAATACACCTCATACCCACCATCAACCAGGTCTTCTCGTCTGACACCGCTCGCTATGAAATGGCGTCAGGTGAAGTCGACATGGATCCAGCCGGATACCCACACGACGTGCGATAATCCGTCACGTTGTCGGGATGGACAAAGACGAATGACTCGTAGATGACAGCGCCGGTGTGATCGACCAGGCCGACTCTGCAAGGGGTCAGCGCAGGCTTCTCCCTTTTGGGTCTTTCTCGGCTGCACCCAAGACCAGTAGCGGTCCACCTTGACTCACCTGGCCAAGGCCTGACCCAGCCTACACCCGACCATCTCGCAGTCTGCTATCAGCTTTGGTCCCGTGGTGCCCACGTACCGATAGCGAGATAGTCTTCGAGCTCTGGCAGTCCCATTTTCTCGCTCCTTGATCCTTAGACCTTAGCCCCTCATATGCATTGACATCGACTCGAGACAAAGAGAGCAACAGCCAGGAGTACACGGTGAAGGGGTATATTACCACTGACACGGGTTTCAGGTCGGAGCGGGGACTCCGCGTTCCTCGTCCTTTATCAAGATGTCCTTTTATCATCTAGCCATCAGTGATCGCTCGGTCACCTACCTTGCCATGGGTCGGAGGGTATTAAAGGCGGCGAGGGAGGGTTCACCATTGCCTGGGCAGTACCCATCCTCACCGCTCTTTCAGTGACACCTTGACACCCACGCCCACACACACACCCACAACCACCATGCCCGTACCTACCTTCACCCATCCCAGCTTTGCCATTCACCTGTCGGTGACTCGCTTCTGCCTCCCTCTGTCCCGCTTCGCCTCTTTACCATCCAACAAGGGCAAGAAGCTCTTCACCGGCGCCCTCCTGCTGGACAAGGACCACACCAAGCTGCTCATCGTCCAGCGAGCCAAGGACGAGTCGGCCTACCCCGACCACTGGGAGATCCCCGGCGGCAAGTCAGAGTACGGCGTGGATCAGACTCTGCTCGAGTGCGTGGTCCGGGAGGTCAAGGAGGAGACCGGCCTGGTGGTCACGGCGATCCGTGGCGAGTTTGACGGGTTCGAGTGGGAGGACGCGGACGGTCACGGTCCCGCAAAGCAGTACAACTTTATCGTCGAGGCCAAGGGCGAGGTCAAGCTGCATGACCAGGAGCATCAGGCGTTCAAGTGGGTCTCCAGCGAGGAGGACCTGATCGACCTGCAGATGACCGAGAACCAGACCAGGGTCATCAAGAGCGGTCTGAGCTATCTCCAGGTGGGCCCTACGCTCTCCGGTGAGGTGTCACGGCGCTGACGGTCGAGCAGAAACGAGCAGCTTCGCAGCCGAGCTCGCCAGCCTCCACGGGCGCTTCCAAGGGAGAGCCTTTGCTCAGCGACCTCGCAGGTGCCTCCGCCCAAGGACCTTGATACCGGGCGGAAACTTGCACGGCCGTATGCCCACCCGCGCCAGCACGATACTTATGCATCGAAGCCGACAGCTGTCACGCTGATACACCACCGCTACAATACCGCTGTAGACATGACTACAATGAACCTGATGCATTTCTGTGACATCGCTCGGTATCACCTATGTGACATCGAGCCCGCTTCGTGCGATCGGCCGCCTCACGAGGCGGGCTTGGTGCTACGCCTGCTATGGCTGTGCTGCGAGCCTTTTGTACGCCTCTGAGCGATGTCAGCTCAGTTCAGACTAGGTGATAGCCATGCAGCTCACCTCGTGGATCTAGACGGTCCTTTTCCATGATCTCCATGACCGATGACAAATGCTGCATGGTCTGCGAGATCTATAAGACCGGTCAGTGCCCATCCCAGAGGGAACACTCGTGGACCCACCTCCAGCACCCGCATGACACCGTCAGGTATCCCCTTGTCACCCGTGTCCAGCACCAGTTCCATCCGGGTGATCTTTCCCCGCCTCACCCCGGTGCTCTCGTTCGATGCGACGTCGGCGGCGACGTCGGCGGCGATCGAGCCTGTCCAGGTCCTGTCCGCCATATACCATGCCACGTCGTACGAGTCTGGGTTTAGTGTCGCATCTGCCGGCGTGACCACGATCCGACTAGGAATGGCGCCTTCACCCGAGGCATGCGTCTCTTCGGGGATCGACAGTGCCATGAACAACCGTGCCGACGAGGTACTCGGTATGTCTGCAGAGCATTCGCATCAGCGTCTCCTTATGAACTCGGCTAGCTCCAGACGTGCGACCCACCGAACATCTTGACCTCATCCGCTATCAAGATCAACTGCATCCTTGCCCCCTCCTCAAACCAGTCATCAACAAAGGCTGACCACTCGGAGAAGGTACCTCCCTGGCGCGGCATGGCTCGTCAGGTCATACTGATAGCCTGGTCCTCAGTCGGCCGTAATACACATACCTCCATATCAGAGAGACCATCCGCCCAAGCTCGCAAGACTGCCAGGGTTTCATCGGCTGATATCGTGTCGCTGTCGACCGTAGCCGCGGGGAGAGCCGTGGGTACAGCAGTCGGTACCGGCGAGAAGATCAGGTATTCCATTGGCAAAAGCAGTACGGCCGGCAAGGGAATCGTTCGAGCGAGGATGAAGAAGAGGAGGGCAAGGTTGTCAGCTTGACATCTCATAGCTACGCCCACTGGGCGAGGGCGAACAAAGGATCCTCACCTATACGTGAGCTGATCCTTTGGCAATGTGACTGGTCCTGTCGCAGGCTCGATCACCCGTACAGAGCTGTGCACTTGCGGCGTGACGAGCTTGGCGCCAGCTTGAGGCCGCGCTATCATCTGCCTGGGAGGCGTCTGATACATCTCCGCGTGGGTCGGCGTCCCATGGTCAGACGAGGGCCCGTTGGACTGAGCAGGCGGTACGGGCCCAGTCGACAGGGTCGAGCTGGTGGGGTGGGTAGGCCCTTGATGCGGCGTGCCGTGAGGGGGTACGTGCGAGTGAGCCGCTCGCGGGGTTGTCTGGACGATGTGGATGTGGTTGGCAGGCAGCGGTTCCGAGTCTGACGATACGGGGCTATCCACCAGACCCGTATCGCCCGCGCGTTGAACGTAAACGAAGGGCGGGGTCAGTGGCCTCCCTCGTCCCACCCCGGCTACCACTGCGTTCGCCGCGCCCCTGCCCCTCCCTCTGCCTCTGCCTCGCTGGGTGCCAGCGCCATGGTAAGGGACGTGCCCGTTGATGGTTGCGACCGGCTGCCCAGGCTGGGATCGAGGTTGGGGATAGGCCAGGACCGGGGGCTGAGCCTGCTGATACGCCTGGATGTACTGCTGGTCCTGCGCGAGGTGGTACTGGGGGTACACCTGGGCCTGAGGTTGAGCGTACCCTCCCTGGGGGTACTGGACCATCACCCCGTTCATGTTGTAACCCACGCTGGTCGAGCTCGGACCGACCGCGGTACCGATGGTCGGATGGCCGTTGAGGTGGACCGGCGTCTGCACCTGTGAAGAAGCTCGGGGCTGTAGGTCCGCGTGGACAGCCTCTGGGGAGGAAGCTATGGCCAGGTCCATGCTGTCGCTAGGTCATCTCGCTGTGCTCTGGTCGAAGAGTCGAGAGCGAGTGTGATCCACAGCATCAACATATGGTCCTCCATCCCAACTCGCTCGCGTCCAGGCACAGTGCGACAAATCGCATTCCGAACCACTCATCCTCTCTCTCTCTCCCTCTCTCTTCTCCTCTCCTTCGTATTCACACACCTGCTCATTCACTCTCATATACCCAAAAGAACCCGACCAGCAGGATGCTCCGAACACCCTCGTCCGCCCTCACCCGAGCCGCCATCCGAACCCTTTCCACCTCGGCGGTCGCCAGGCAAGAGGCCGTCGGTGTCGTCGGCGCTGTCCCGGTGAAAAAGCCTGTAGGCGGGTTCCGGTGAGTGCGGCGGGTGCATGGTCACGTCGGCGACCACACCTTGCCAGATGTTCAGTGCGGATCGGGTAGCTGACGGGGGTGTGCCTGCCTCGTCTACT